AAGCACAGTCTAAAAATGCCATCTCCTACGTCATTCTTGCATATCAGACCCTTTAGTTGTGACATATCCCCTTCACATTTAAGTCTTCGACATAAAGTCCTTGTCACCTGGCCCTGAGAATAAGTCTTGCCTTCTGCCACACTGTGGCTCCCAGTGTGCCAGGTGACTTTGTTCCACTGCACACGTGCTGCTCCAGGGAGCTGGAAGCCCTTCTTTCCTTGCCTGGCTGGAGAACTCTGCACTCTTCAAAACCTACCTTCTCCAGCAAACCTTCCTGATCCTTTGGTCCTTCCTCTTTCTCCTGGCCTGTCCCCTCAGCCCCCAGTCAATTGGCCACTCTCCTCTCTATGCTGGTTCACACCTATTATTCCCTTTTCTATCAGAATGAAAGTGATACAGAGATGGAAATTTTAGGACTGCAGAGGTTATCAAATTTCACAGGGAAGGCAGATAACACTAGGGAGGTGAGTGAAGTCTATTCTGTCTTACTTCCCCTTGCAAATACCATGACTTTTATGTGTGGCCCCTGGAACTCTCCTCTAGTTCCCTTTCCTCCTCCCACTCTGGTCTTACTCTTAGCAGGCAGCATAAAGCTTCATTTAGTCCCCTTACTGTAGCTTCATTCCAGAATTGGAGGGAAGAAACGTTCAGCTTTAGCAGTATCTTGCTCCAATAAAGAACTTTTGTTTTAAGTCTCATTGTGTTATCCTGGATAGAGTGCCGTAGCGTCATAGCTCACAGCAACCTCAAACTCATGTGCTCTAATGGTCCTCTTGCCTGGGCCTCCTGAGTAGCTGGAACTACAGGTGTGTGCCAGAATGACTGGTCATTTTTTTCTATTTTTAGTAGAGACAGGGTCTTGCTCTTGCACAGGCTGATCTTGAATTCTTGAGCTCAATCAATCCACCTGTGTCAGCCTCCCAGAGTGCTAGGGTTCAATAAATAACTTTTCCTAAATGACACTGCTTTTTTCAGGCAACTACACAAACAAAATGGGAGCTGACAACTGCACACTGCAAGAAATGTACCAGAATGGTCTTTCCTTATAAACAGGTGCTCGGAAAGCAGAGGCCCAAATAGAACAAGGGAAGACAGGGAAATTGGATAAAGAATATACCATAACATTGTAAAAAAATCACCCAAGTCAATAGTTTTGCTATCCAATACCACATCAGATAGGAGTGATTAACTGGCTAATTTGAATATCTTCTCTTATTTCTTCCTTTGTGTATGGAGGGCAGAATTTTCATTGATTCACTTGATAAATATATACGGGCCACCTACTATGAGTTACATACTGTTAGGCATAGAAAATAATGATAACGATAATAATAGCTACCATTTGTCGAGCATTTACTAAGTGCCACGTATTTTGCTCTGTACTTTACATACATCATCTCATGCTGTCTTCATAGACGCCCCCTCCTGTGAGGTAGGTACCATTTCTTCCCATGTTGGCTGATGGGAAGCTAAGATTTAGAGAGGTTAACTATTCTGCTCAAACGGCAGGGTTAGGATTTGGGCCTGCTGACTTCGAGTCCTTGCTCTTAAATATTGCTTTAAGTGCCTGGAGCCAAACCTGAACCCCTGACCCATCCATGGGAGCGATCCTTCACAGTCCTCTGCCAAAGGAGCTGCTGAACGTGGTTAAGAAGAGGGAGGAGAAGCACAGTGGCTCTACCTCCCAGCACTGGCCCCAGATCCTCCTGAGGAGCCGTGCCCATCTGTGGATGGGCGTCAACTGGGTCAGCTGCTCAGCTAAGGCAGAAGTCACTTCCCTGAGATCCAGTGCTTGGGGGCTATGGGTGGTGTTCACCCCTCCAGGGATAGCCCATTCTCCTAGGCAGCTCTAAGGGTGAGAAAGTACCTGATTACACTGGCCTTCCATTGCTTGTTTTAGTTTTTATCTACTTTTGTTTGAAAAGTACTTTTTTTTTTTTTTTTTTTTCCTGAGACAGAGCCTCAAGCTGTCCCCCTGGGTAGAATGCCGTGGCATTACAGCTCACAGCAACCTCCAACTCCTGGGCTCAAGCGAATCTCCTGCCTCCGCCTCCCAAGTAGCTGGGACCACAGGCGCCCGCCACAACGCCCGGCCATTTTTTGATTGCAGCCATCATTATTGTTTGGCGGGTCCGGGCTGGGGATTCGAACCCGCCACCTTAGGTGTACGTGGCTGGCGCCTTAGCCGGCTGAGCTATAGGCGCCGAGCCTTGAAAAGTACTTTTGATATAATCTTTCTTTAAGCTCCATAGAATCTGGGCTTCTGGTGATAACCTATGATTAAAGAAAATCTTTAACTAGAGGTTTCAGGGAGATAACTTTAATCTTTTATTACAATTCTCTCTCTCTCTCTCTTTTTTTTTTTGACACAAAGTCTCACTCTGTTGCCCTAGGTAGAATGCCATGGTGTCATCATAGGTCACAGCAACCTCAAACTTCTGGGCTCAAGCGATCTTCTTGCCTCAGCCTCCTGAGGAGCTGGGACTACAGGTACCTGCCACCTGCCCAGCTAGTTTTTTTTTTTTTTTTCCTATTGTTAGGCGAGACAGGGTCTCACTTTTACTCAGGCTGGTGTCCAATTCCTGAGCTTGAGCAATCCATCCACTTCAGCCTCCCAGAGTGCTAGGATTACAGGCGTGAGCCACTGCGTCCAGCCTTAGGGATTTTCCAGACAAACAGAACGCAGGGGTGGGGAAGCAATGGCAAACAGGAACTCCAGATCTACTTCTAAATTAGGGGATGTCGAGACTGTATACCAAATCATAATATATTGATACTTTCAAAGGTGTAGAACCCCAATCAAACTTTGTTTTCTGGCATTTGAGACAACAGTTTAATAAAAGGTGGAAGAGTGTTTCTCGTTGTGTGTTTGTGTGAACCTGAAGAGAGCCGCACACAAACATGTTTATTTTCCTCCAGCCCAAAGAGGCTCCCTTTAGAACTAACAGAAACAACACAGACTCCCCAAGAGGACTTGTAACTGACAAGAGGGTGTCTTTAAGGTAGAGAAGAAAGGCCAAGCAGAAGGGCCCCATATGGATTTCTGGGTTTCAACAGGGAGGCATGCAGTCTTAAGGAGCAGGTGGAATCTAATATGAAAAAGAAAATTCAATAACGACATTAGCAGAAACTGCTACGGAAAAGGTCACAACCCAGCTCACATAAAATTATGACCTTTGTGAATCTGTTGAATCTGCCAAAAGATCAGAATAATGTGTGCAAAGCATGAACATTTTGGGGGAAACAGATTACCTCCCTCAACTCAATTACACATTTTTCAGGGGCAAGACATTAGAGGTTCATTTATCAAAATTTGTTGATCTCTATGATGTGCCAGTTAGATCTTGGTGCTGTGGATCTGTTCCTGCTTGCACGGATCTTTCATTTAAGGGGGATGGAGCAGGCAGTAATCACATCCACCTGCATTATGTCAGGTGTGACAAGTGTCGTGAAAAACAGTGACAAGGCAGATAGTGAAGGACAGGTGGCATGTTTTATAATTAGCAGGAGAAGACTCTATTGAGGTGACTTCTGGGTCAAGACTTTCAAAATGTATATGAAAACACCACACTGTATCCCATGATTGCATTAATGTACACAGCTATGATTTAATAAAAAAAAAAAGACTGAGTGAAATAAGGAGAGTCCTGGGGGAAGAATATAAGAATATATAAAGACACTTCTTTCTACAGCACAAAGCAGGTAATACATAAGTTGAACAAAACAGGTGCTTATCAGTAGCAATTTATCAACTTAGTGATCCTTTGAGTTTAGGTTGATAGAGTAGATTAAAGGCCTTAGAATCTGGTGAGTTTACTACATTGCCTAGCCCAGTGGTTCTTCTCAACTAGGGTAGAATTTGCCAGGCAAGGGACATTTGGCAATGTCTGGAGACATTTTGATTATCATGACCTGGGGAGGGGAAAGGTTACTGCTGGCATCTTGTGGGTAAAGGCCAAAGATGCTGCTGGGCACTCTGCAATGCAACCCAAGTCCATACAGCAAATAATTAACAAGCTAAAAAATGTCAGGAGCGCTGCTACTGAGAAATCCTGATATGGTACCAATGCCAGCTACCAGATCTCCGATGAGCTCTTGAGAACAAGCCCATCAAGATAGCTGGACGTCTACAAACAAGTCAGATCCATTGTCCTTGGAGTATCTGTTCCCAGCTTAATGACAGGCATAGTTGGTTTCAAAGTCATATGAGAATTTATTCATTAAAGAACATTAAGTAAAAGTTTCTTGCATGCTTTTAATGTGAGAGGACAAGGAGGCTCAGCACCTGTAGCTCAGCACCATACACTGGGGCTGGCGGGTTCGAACCTGGTCTTAGCCTGCTAAACAACAATGACAATGATGATGATGACAACAACAAAAATAGCCGGGCATTGTAGTCCCAGCTGCTTGGGAGGCTGAGGCAAGAGAATCACTTAAGCCCAAGAATTTGAGGTAGCTGTGAGCTGTGCCACTACAGCACTCTACGGAGGGCAACATACTGAGACTGTCTTTAAAAAAAAAAAGAGGGCAAGGTGACAAGATGTGGTCCCTGCCCCAAAGATGTTGCAGCTTTGAGAGGATGGGAGGCATAAAGACAAATACCTACATTGTGGCAAGGGCCGTAAGAGGTAGAAATAAAGTGATGTAGAGAAAGGGGGAATGACTTTTGTTGGAATGACCCAAGTAAATTTAACATTTGAAGTTATCGTTTGTACTAGGCTTTGACAATGGGTTTTAGTAAGCAGAGAGGAAAGCAGAAGCTATTCTAGGTAGAAGGTTAGATGTAAAAATAGGTAAGAAGGCAGGGGACAATAATAATATTAACTTCCATCTAGTAAGCCCCTTCTCTGTGGTAGGTGTAGTGCAAAGCACTTTATCATCGTTGTAGTCTAAACTCAAAGCTGATATATATGAATCTGCTGAAGCCTGGCATCACATAGAGTGACTTGAATTTTCATCTTACCCATTTCAACAAGACATTGAAACACGGAGAGCATTACCTGGGGTGAGTTGCATAAATACCGAAGCAGTTCACCAATATACTGGATGATAGTGACGTTGTATTTTCTGCAGTCATCCCAAAATTGGCTGGCTGAGAATTTAGCCCGCAAGGCCAGAGTACAACCTACAGAAGCATAGGAAGTGTCAGTAAAGAATTATATACTTGGGAAGTTAGGGTTGGTGGCTAAGGAGTTTGAGGTTGCTTTCTGGGTTGATGGAAATGCTCTCAATTTTATTATTATGATGGTTCACAGGCCTGGGACTACCCCCAAAATATACTTTAAATGCATCCATTGAATTATATCTTAATAAAATCATTTTTATTTTTTATTTTATTTTATTTTTTTTGAGATGGAGCCTCAAGCTATCCCCCTGGGTAGAGTGCTATGGCATCACAGCTCACAGAAACTTCCAACTCCTGGGCTCAAGCGAGTCTCCTACCTCAGCCTCCCAAGTAGCTGGGACTATAGATGCCCGCCACAACGCCCGGCCATTTTTTGGTTGCAGCCATTATTGTTGTTTGGCAGGCCCGGGCTGGGGATTTGAACCCGCCACCTTAGGTGTACGTGGCTGGCACCTTAGCTGCTTGAGCCATAGGCGCCCAGCCTAAAATCATTTTTAAAACAGCTACAAAAAATTCCTCAATTATATTTATCATCTTCTAAAGGTATAAATTTTAAAATAAATTATATTCACAAACAAGTATTGAATACCTATTATAGTCAATGCAAAAAAATGAATTAAGCACGGTTTTTCCTAGAGGGTCTTCTGATCTATGGAGGAGAAGACATAAAAAAATTCATTCTAATAAAACTGACCTTGTAGTTTGAAGTTTAAATGAGGCCCTATGGCGGAGAGAGAGTGAGAGATAGTAATTCTGTTTGCAGGCGAGGGCTGAGAAAGGCATACTTTGAAAGAGGGATGATTTGAGTTTAGCCTTAAGAAACGAATAGAGAGAGACAAGAGAATTTTAGACAGAGGAAAAAGCTTGGACTAAAGGACAGGACAGCTCAAAAGGTGTTGGGGGATGGCCAAGACTCAGCTGGCCTGTGACTGGGGTGGTGAAGGATAGGTGGATGAATCTGGATAAGCAGCTAGAGGCACAATCATTGAGAGCTTGGAAGTGCTGGGGGAGGAGCCAAATTTAATTTTGTAGGTAATGGAGAGTCAAGGTCTTGAATAAGCGGGAGGTAATATTCTTCCATGATGGGTGAGGTAGACATAAAATGATACATCAAGACTTCCACATCCTAATGCCCAGAATTTGTGCAAATGCTAACTTACATGGCCAAAGAGACTTTGTGGCTGTGGTTAAGTTAATGATCTTGAGATGAAAACACTATCCTGAACTATCGAACTATCTGGGTGCAACCAAGGTAATCAGAAAGGTCTTTATATGTAAGAGGGAGGCAAGGTCAAAGACAGAAGGAGATGGGATGATGGAAATAAAAGGTTGGAGTAAGGTACTTTGAAGGTGGAAGGTGACCTTCAGCTAAAAAATAGATGCAGCCTCAGGAGGCACCTGTGGCTCAAAGGAGTAGGGCTTCTGCCCCATATACCAGACGTGGTGGGTTCAAATCCGGCTCTGGCCAAAAGCTGAAAAAAAAAAAAAAAAGATGCAGCTTCTAGAAGGTGGAAAAGGCAAGCAAATGGATTCTCCCCTAAAGCCTCCTGAAGGAATGCAGCCCTGTGGACATCTTGACTTTAGGACTTCTCACTTCCCAAACAGTAAGAGTAAATCTGAATTGTTTTAAGCCACTGTGTTTGTGGAAATTTGTTATAACAGCAAAAAAACAAAACAAAACAAAAAACCTAATAAAACAGGTAGGAGTATTTATCATATTCAATTTAATTATAGTCATGAAATGTAGTAAAAGTAAAACTAAAAAATCTCACAAATATTCTTCCATGATATTTATTTGTTTTTACTCTTTTTTGTTTTTTTTGAGAGTCTCACTTTGTCGCCCTCAGTAGAGTGCTGTGACATCATAGCTCACAGTAACCTCCAGCACTTGGGTTTAGGTGATTCTCTTGCCTCAGCCTCCCGAGTAGCTGGGACTACAGGCGCCGACCATGATGCCTGGCTATTTTTTGTTGCAGTTTGGCCGGGGTCGCGATTGAACCTACCACCCTCAGTATATGGGGCTGACGCCCTATTCACTGAGCTATAGCCCCACTCTATTTTTACTTTTAAATACACCAAAGTTCAATGTTTTGGAGGAAGAGAAACTTTTCGAATACTAGTTTTTCTTCTTTAGCACATGCTGATGGTGCTTAAGTGGTTGATTTGGCCATTTGGGAGCCTCAGAGTCACTCTGTTCTTGAAAGGCCCAGCAAGATGACCCAGGCCCAGTCATTCCATCCTGATTGGGGCTGGTACTGCTGCTGACTGAGTACTTTATGGCTCATCAGTTGGTAGATGAGGGATAGAAGCAGAGGCTTGGGTAATCAGATACAGGTTAAGCAACACTTATTTGAAATGTGTGGGACCAGAAGTGTTTCAAGTTTCAAATTTTTTCAGATCTTGGAATATCTGCATATACATAATAATATAGTTTGGGGAAGAGACCTAAGACTAAGAATGAAATTCATTTGTGTTTCATATACACCTTATCCACATTGTCTGAAGGTAATTTTTTTTTTTTTTTGGCTGGGACTGGGTTTGAACCCACCACCCCTGGTATGTGGGGCCAGCGCCCTACTCCTTGAGCCACAGGCGCTGCCCACCTGAAGGTACTTTTATATAATATTTTTGTTTGTGAAACAAAGTTAGTGTTAAGTATTTATGTGTCCTATTTTTCCACCTGTGGTATCATATTGGTGTTCAAAGTTCAAAAAGTTTTAGATTTTGGAGCATTTTGGGTTTTTAATTTTCAGATTAGGGAGAATCTTTAGATATATATATTCCGTAATCTTTAGATATATATATTCTCTCCTAAAGTCTCCAGAAGGAATGTAGCCCTACTGACACCTTCATTTTAGGACTTCTGATCTCCTGAACAGTATGAGAATAAAACTGTTGTTTTAAGCCATTAAGTTGTGGTAATTATATATACAAGACTATATATGTATGCATATATGTGTGTATATATGTATATATACACATATATAAAAAATAGGTAAAAATAAATATGTAAAAAAAATATAGGGCGGCACCTGTGGCTCAAGGAGTAAGGCGCTGACCCCATATACTAGAGGTGGTGGGTTAAAACCCAGCCCTGGCCCTGGCAAAAAAGAAAAAAAAAAAAAAAATATATATATATATATATATAAACACACACAGTCTTAGTTTGAGCTGCTGTTAAAAAATACTCTAGACTGAGTGGTTTACCTGACATTTATTTTTCATTGATCTTGGGGCTGAAGATCAAGGTGCCAGTGGATCCTGGGTGTGGTGAGGGCAATCGTCCTAGTTTGGGGATTGCTGTCATCTCCCTGTGTCCCCCCATGGAGGACAGCAGCGATGGGAAAGATCTCTTCTATCTCTTCTTCTAAGGTCATTAATCCCACTCCTGAGAGCTCCAACTTCATGACCTAATCATCACCCAAAGGCCCTGCTTGCTAATACCATCACATTAGCAGGTGCAGGATTTCGACATATGATTTTGGGGGAGATGAAGGTTCAGCTCATGACAAACATACACACACACACATATAAGTTTATGTACATATTATTATATAAACAGAGATGATTATTTGACATGAAATGCTACATGGGAGAAAAAGGCCAGTCTTTGGGTTAGTCAAAAAGTTACAGATACTTTCTTGGAAGGGGGAGATACTGGACTTTGCCTTAATGTGTAAAAGTGGCATAAATTCGATTAGAAGGAAGAAGGGGTGGAACGTCAATTTGAGTCATAAAGTTTGAGAAGGAAGGAGAAGCAATGGCAAGGCAAGTGTTCTGAGTAGAGCTGGGAGCTGTGGGAATAGGGAAGAAATCAGAAGAACGAGGACAGCTTTTAAATCAGATGCTGACGTACAGAAATGTACAAATTTCTGAGGATGGAAATGACATAGGAGAATTATGTATGGAATTTAAGAATCCAGCGTCTTAACCTAGATAAAGACTTAAAATATTTTAAAGGAGCTTCTTTCTTTTCTTTCTTTCTTTTTTTTTTTTTTTGAGACAGTCTCACTATGTCACCCTTGGTAGAGTGCTGTGGCGTCACAGCTCACAGGAACCTCAAATTCTTGGTTTAAACGATTCTCTTGCCTCAGCCTCCCAAGTAGCTGGGACTACAGGTGTCTGCCACAATGCCTGGCTATTTCTTTTTGTTGTTGTTGCAGTTGTCTTTGTTGTTTTAATTGGCCCAGGCCGAGTTTGAACCCGCCAGCCTTGGTGTATGTGGCCAGCGCGTTACCCACTGCGCTATGGGCACTGCCCAGGAGCTTCTTTCTTGAGATGCTGAACAATTTATAGCATTATATGTGGGTCATTATGAAAGTTCTGAGGTACGCAAAAGTCAAGAAATGTAAAATCCATGTGTATAGAAACAAATGAAGCCCTTCCAGCAACACTGATGAGCCAAGCAAGTTGAAATGTGCACGGTCAATCAGAAAGGATGCCGTCAACTGTGTTTCTTGGAAGTAAAATAATAGATCATAGAACAGTCTGTCTCAAAACTTTTGTAGTGACCCATGTGTTGTTAGATAAGCAGGCATGAGAAAATATAAATATTTTAGATACTTGCTTGCAATGTGTAAGTCGAATAGCCTTGTTATTAATGCAAAATTAAACACTACTTCCTAGCCAACAGGAAAGTAGCTAAATTTGGTATCACTTTTCCTTATGAGCAGATAGGAACGTGAACTAGCTTCTGATTCCTTTGTTGAGAGAAAGAGCTTACCAGTTAGGATACATCCATGTAGGCCAATCAAAAGTGCAGCACTGTGGTACAAGGGCAAAGTGACATAGATGACATCATCTGCCTTTATCCTGGTTGCTATAGCAAGGCCAGTTCCATACCATATGCGGTGATGATTGATCACGGCAGCTTTTGGGAGACCTTTGCAAAAATACAAGAGAAGGCATGAGTGAGCCAACACTGGCCATTTACAGTTTGGAAGAGAGATCTGGCTTAGGAAGATGCATCATCCCATGCTTAGAGAACTGTACAGGGAAGGGCCATGACGAGTTAGACCAGGAGTTGGCAATTTTTTTCTGTAAAGGACCAAAGAGTTAAGTGTTTTAGGCTTTGTGGGTCATATAGTCTCTGATGCAATGACTCAACCCTGCTTTGTGGCTGAGAGCAGCCATACACATACATAAAGGAAGGAGTGTGGCTGTGTTTTATTGACAAAAACAGGTGTGACACTATTTGGCCTATAGGATGTAGTTTGTTGACTCCTGAGTTAGACATTATTATGGTGGTAATCTGAAGAGAAAAGGAGGCGAGAGGAATGTATGTCCTCTGAATTTCTGCTCTGTGTCTACCATTTTGCAAGGCATTTTCAAAATTTCATTTAATTTTCATAACAAATTTCTAAGGTTTATAATTACACTCTCCAGTCCACAGAGGAGAAGGCTGAGATTCAGGCAGATTAAATTCATCCCATCACCTTCCCTCATAACCACTTTTATTAATTTCTTATGTACCATTCTAGAATTTCTTTCTACAAATGCATGCAAACAGGAACATTTGTTCATTATGTTCATGCCTTTGCCATTAAAAAAAAAATGCACATGATTCCACATGTTTTTTTCCTCTCAACACTTAACCATGTTTCTTGGAGATCTATCCCTGTTTGTACATAAAGTTTTCCCTTATTTATTTATTTATTTATTCTCTCTTTCTTTCTCAGCTGCCTCCCATCCTTTGTATGAGTATACTACAACTCATTCACACCATCTGCTATTACAAATGATGTTGTGGTGAACAACTTTGTCCATATGGCAATTCACACTGTAAGTGACACTACATCTCTGGCATAAATTTGCTGAAGGGAGATTGTGAGTCAAAAGACATGTCTTTGTAATTCTGATGGGTAACTGCCGCATTGCCAGTTACAAGGCTATCTTTATTCCCCCTCCTATCAGTATTACATAAGTGTGCCCACTTCCTCATAGCTCTGCCAATGTGTGCTCTCAAATGTGGGATTTTTTTTTGCCAGTTTAAAAGGGGCAAAATGGTATCTCAGTGTATATATTTTTTGAGACAGAGTTTCACTTTTGTCCCCTTTGGTAGAGTGCCGAGGTATCACAGCTCACAGTAACCTCAAACTCTTGGGCTTAAGTGATTCTCTTGCCTCAGCCTCCCAAGTAACTGGGACTACAGGCGCCCACCACAGTGCCCAGCTACTTTTTTGTTTGTTTGTTTAACAGGCCTGGGCTGGATCCAAACCCACCAGCCCTGGTGCATGTGGCCAGTGCCCTAACCACTGAGCAATGGGTGACCAGCCTTAGTGTAGTTTTATGCATTTGCATTCTCTTAACCATAATTTACATAAATTTTTATAAGATTTTCTACTGAAAGTCTATGCTTGTATTATTTTCCATGGAAGATCAGTTCAGTTGGGAAGGGTGTGAAGTTACTGCTAAGAGGGCTAAGAGTTTAAAACCTAAATGGGTAAGTAGGCTTTGGGAAGAGGAAGGCAGGTCTCTGCAGACTCACATTTTTCAATACTTGATGGTAGCTTTGCCAGATACCGCCCAAATAGCACAATTTGTAATAAAGCAAAGAACTATGGCCAAAAAACTACCCTCATTATAAACACAATTCAAAATTCGTTTTCTTTGATAGTGGGCCAGTGACAATGGGCTAGTATTCATGCCCTATTCTACATTAATATTAAGAAATAGAAGAAAGCACCAATAAATCAATTGTATCCACAATGGAAAAGAATCGTCCACATAGTGAAAGCTCTGAATCATATTTTTAAAAAAGAAATGCCCATCTTTGGCTTGGCACAACACACTGGTTACAGCCCCAGCCACATACACCGAGGGTGACAGGTTTGAACCCGGTCAGGGCCTGCTAAAGAACTGCAACAAAGAAACAGCTGGGCATTGTGGTGGGCGCCTGTAGTCCCAGTTACTTGGGGAGGCTGAGGCAAGAGAATTGCTTAAGCCCAAAAGTTGCTGTGAACTATGATGCCATGGCCCTCTACCGAGGGCGACAAAATGAGACTCTGTCTCAAAAAAAAAAAAAAAAGAAATGCCCACCTTTGTTGAAAGAGATTTAGAACTTTCCTATATTAAGATCTGGTATTAATGAAGAAATAAGAATATTTGCTAATTATTATTATACAATTTTGTGTTAATGATTTCCTTTGAGGAGCATTTTGTTTCCCAGGTACTTAAATTTGAGTTCTTTTAATTAACATTTACAAGACCCCCTGGGTGAAGAGCTCAACTACAACTTGAATTTGTACCCATATATTAATTTGAAATAAAAAAAATTTGAGCTGCACCTATGGCTCAAAGGAGTAGGGTGCCAGCCTCATATGCCAGAGGTGGCAGGTTCAAACCCAGTCCCAGCCAAAAACTCCAAAAAAAAAAAAAAAATTTACAAGAGTAAATTTGGCAAATAATTTATTCAGAGAAAGGAAAAAAGTAAAATAAACACTAATCCAGTTGTCTTCTCATTAAATATACATTTTGAATTATGAGATTAAATCAGAGTGTTCATTCTTTTTTTCTCCCTAAAATGGGTTTTATAGTTGGTTGCCAAAATGTACATTATAAAGTAGTTCCGTACTTTGTCTATATAATACTAAAACTGAACTCCCCATCACTGACAAAGAGCGTGCTTTATCTTATCTATTTCCTGAATCAATTTAATTCTACCATTCTATTAAGAAATGAGGATAAGCAAATCAAAACCACTTTGAGATATCTAAGTAAGATTAGCCCACACCAAAAATTCCCCAAACTACAGATGTTGGTGTAGGTGAGGAGAGAAGGGAACACTTCTATACTGCTGGTGGGCATGCAGGCTAATACGATCTTTTTGGAAAGAAGTTTGGAGAACACTCAAGGAACTAAAAGTAGACCTACCATTAGATCCTGCATTTCCTCCACTAAGTATATACCCATATGATCCAAAATCATTTTATAACAAAGACATTTGCACCAGAATGTTTATTGCAGCCCAATTCATAATTGCCAAGATATGGAAATAGCCCAAGTGCCTATTTACCCATGAATGGATTAACAAATTGTGGTATATGTACACCATGGAATACTATGCAGCCATAAATAAAGATGGAGACTTTATATCTTTTTTTTTTTTTTTTGAGACAGAGCCTCAAGCTGTCCCCCTGGGTAGCGTGCCATGGCATTACAGCTCACAGCAACCTCCAACTCCTGGGCTCAAGCGAGTCTCTTGCCTCTGCCTCCCAAGTAGCTGGGACCACAGGCGCCCGCCACAACGCCCGGCTACTTTTTGGTTGCAGCCATCATTGTTGTTTGGCGGGTCCGGGCTGGGGATTTGAACCCACCACCTTAGGTGTACGTGGCTGGCGCCTTAGCCGGTTGAGCTATAGGCGCCGAGCCGAGACTTTATATCTTTTATGTTTACCTGGATGGAGCTGGGACATATTCTTCTTAGTAAAGTATCTCAAGAATGGAAAAAAAGTATCCAACGTTCCCTATGAACTATGAAATCAATATATAATCAGTACTACTGTACTACTATGAAATAGTATGACATCAATATATAATCACCTATACATTCATAAGAATGGTAAAATATAACTATAGTCCAGAAAGTAGAAGAGGAGAGAGAGGGGAAATGGGGAGGGAGGAGGGAGGGTATTTGGGGGAACCTCACCAAATCAGTACTACTATGAAATCAATATATAATCACCTGTACATTCACAAGAATGGTAAAACATAACTATAGTCCAGAAAGCAGAAGGGAAGAGGAGAGAGGGGGAGATGAGGGGGGAGGGGGGAGGAGGGAGGGTATTTGAGGGAACCTCACCTAATGTGCATGACATGACACAATGGTACATTTCAAAACTATTAAGAAAAGAGTATAATTGTGATGGATGTGTTAAGTTCAATGTAAGCATTTCACAATGCATATCAAATCAGTACACTGAACCCCATAAATGCATCATTGTACACAGTTATGATTTAATAAAAACAAAAAAATTAAAAAAGAGAAAAAATAAAAAAATAAGAAAGAGTAAAATAAATAAATACATAAAAATTAAAAAAATCTTAAAATGAAAGAGGATAAAAGTCCCATGTATTAAGGTAGTATCTGTATGCAGTCTAAGCAGTTAGTTAATTGTATCTTCCCATCTTCCTATTGGCGTGATAATATATAACTTTGGATAAACAAACGATGCAGCTCCTGCCCTTCTTTTAAATAGATCCCTCAGTCTTTCTATTATTATGTTTAGTTTTTTCCTGGCCTATAGCAGGCAGACACTAAATATCTGTTATGTGAATAAGCTAGGATGCACTGGGGTGGAGCTGTCCATTATCTGAGCTGTCCATAATCAGCCTATCAGGTGAAACCTGACACTTCCACCTCTTCCTTGGGAAGTTCTTAACCTCTTCAAGTATCATTTCCTGAATCTGTGAAACGGGAGTAAGAATAATACCCATCTCGAGGATGGTGGAAGAACTGTATAACTGCTGTAAAGCTCCTTGAAGAATATCTAGTATATGCTACCCTTAATGTGGTTCATTCCATTTAAGAGTGTTCCAATAATGCTCTTAACTGGCAGTGTTCTTTTCAGAGGCTCATAATATAACATGATGGTGCGGCTTACAGTTGAAGGGCTCCTAGAATCTGATGAAATACTGTATTGCAGGCCTTATGCTGGGGCCATCCTACCTCCATAGCACCAAACAGCTTCAAGCCAGTGTTGCATAGGAAGACAGTAAGGGAAACATTTATATAAACATAATCCCTTATTGTCCACTGGCCTTCTCTAGTATTCTATTTATAATTCATTATACATTATGTATGGACTCTGTATGTAATATAATCAAAATATAACAATCATTAAAAAAATTTCAGCAACCCATTTGGTGTCAATTCTCATCTGTCATAACTGTTTTTGTAGTTTTTGGTTAACTTCTTTACCTATTCTATACCAACTGAGGGACAATACGAATTGCTTTGAGAAATCCAAATGGGATCATATGCTATGAAATAAGATCAGTTCCCACAGGCAAAGAGCTAAATCCTCTGAGGCATTAGTTACCTGATAAGTTTTGCCAAAGAAAGAGAAGATTTAAAAAACTATGCCAAAATCTACTCCTTTGGCATAGGTCTGTTTCTTTGAGCATACTCTCTTTATTTTTACCTGTGGTTCCGGAGGTATAAATGTATAAGGCAGGAGTGGAAAAAGTGACTTCGGACCTCCAGGCCTCTGGGACAGGTTCAGCTGACACTTCATCCACTTTGTCCAGGAAGGAGTCGATCCCGTCTGTGTTAGAAGTTCTGCTCACATAATAGATGGACACATCATCTTTTTTCAGGGTTGGCAATACCTCTTCAACAGCCGCTTGTAGTTCTTAATAAGAGAAAAAATCCAAATAAACTAAATTAGTCCATTAAAGCTCTACATGGTATTAGTATTTTAGTAAGATTTATTGAAATTTTGTTTTAGCTTTTTTTTTTTTGGTTAAAACGGGTAGCCGCACAGGTGATGCCTATCGTTATGCAAATACAATTTGCTACATTTGAAAAGGAAATCACAAGATTCCAATACTTGATGGACAGTTGGGTTTTCACAGCTTCACAAGCACAGCAGATGGCTGGGTGAAATCTGTATTTCTTACAGCAAGTACAAACCAATGGACACAAGGGAAAACCCAAGAAATATATGTGTATAACTGATATATGTATCTAAAAGTTCTCCAGAAATGAATTTAGCTATTGCTTATATTCCCACAGGACCAGTGATGAAAAAAAAAGAGAGAAAAAATGCTAAGGAAGGAAAAGAGAAATGAAAAGAAGGGAGTCATGCTAATTAACAAAGATGATAGAAGCCAGCTTTACATAACTTTTTTTTTTTTTAAGGCAGTGTCTCACTATCTCGCCCTAAAGTGCTGTGGCATCACAGCTCACAGCAACCGCCAACTCTTGGGCTTAAGCGATTCTCTTGCCTCAGCCTCCCAAGTAGCTGAGACTACAGGCACCTTCCACAGTGCCTGCCTATTTTTTTTGTTGCAGTTGTCATTGTTGTTTAGCTGGCTGGGGCTGGGTTTGAACCCACCAGCCTTGGTGTATGTGGTTGATGCCTTAACCACTGTGCTATGGGCGTGAGCCAATAAACTTTTTTTTTGTGTGTGTGTGCAGTTTTTGGCTGGGGCTGAGTTTGAACCTGCCACCTCCGGCATATGGGGTTGGTGCTCTACTCCTTTGAGCCACAGGTGCCACCCGCCAATAAACGTTTTTTAAAACTTCAACAATAAGTAGTATTCTAGCAAGTTTTAGCTGATCTGAGAAACAAGCTAAGTTTCCTAAGTATATTCTCTGGTCTGATTAATTTAGAACAGTGTTTTTTAATCTGTGGGTCACAATATAGTAGTAGATTGTTAAAATCATTTAAAGTAAGCAATATTTTAAAAAATTAAATGCGAATGAAACAAATTTTAGAGCACATCACACACCGGAAGAGGTAAACATTGTTTTTCAAAAGTTTTGTTTCAGTGATGGGGGTGTTTGGGTACTGGGTCACACACAAATGGATTTCTTACTGGGTTGAAGTCAAAAATGTTAAAGCCACTTATGTAATATGCAAATCACATTTCATGTGTGCTACCTGAATTTTTGTGCCCTTAAGCTGTAAAGTGAGATGGCTTTTAAGTTTACTTGTCTTGAGATAACTAAAGTGAATATACTCATTCTTAATAGGAAGATGACTCAGTATTTCAGGGAATTACCTTGGAGAGGCTATATCTAATTCATCTCAAATGCTTTGTTTTCAGATGTTTGAGTGTGATATCTCCATCAAGTTAATAAATATCACTGGAGTAGATGCATCAAAAATTTTAAAACATTTAAACCCAAAGACTCATGCCCCTGGTAAAAATAAATCAAATAGTACAAAAGGGTTTATAATAAAATTCAACAAGCCCTTATCACAGTTCTCCTTACATGTAAAGCTACTGCCTAGAGGCAATCACTTTTAATTTTTTAGCTGTTTTGACAATCACCTTCTATCACCCAAAAATGTGCATTTCCTGTTCTTTCTTGGCCTATTGTTTTTTTTTCCCGTGTTACACAGAGGAGAAATTTTATTTAGGAAGAACAAAGAGAAGGTTTAGAGCACTTCCAAAGAAAGTTGGAAGTAGGTCCCTCTCATGAAGGAGATAAAAGAGACTTGGCATATTAATTTTAATCCCCACTTCCGACAGTTGAGATTCTGTCTCAAAACAAACAAAAAAACTACCTGGACTCAGCTGGGCAGTGGCTCACGCCTATAATCCTAGAAGTCTGGGAGGCTGAGGTAGGTGGATTGCTTGAGCTCACGAGTTTGAGACCAGCCTGAGCAAGAGTAAGACCCCATTTCCACTAAAAACAGAAAAACTAGTCAGACGTGGTCGCAGGTGCCTGTAGTCCCAGCTCCTCAGGAAGCTGAGGGAAGAGGACCATTCAAGCCCAAGAGTTTGAAGTTGCTGTGAGCTATGATGACACTGGTACTCTGCCCCGGCAACAGAGTGTGACTCTGCCTCCAAAAAAAAACCTATCTGGACTCCTCAATTTTCTTCCCTCCCAACATTAATTCAACCTCTATTTAAAGAGTGCTCCCTATGTGCCAGGTGAGGTTCTAAGCACTGGGTACAACAGTGAACAAAATAGACACGGTCCCTGTGTTCCTAGAGCCTACGATTAACAGTGAAGGAAACAACAACAAAAAAGCACTTTAAAGTGTCACAATAGGGCAATGTTTTTCATTTGAACCGAGAGCTAAACTTTTGCAGCACACTTACGTTGATTAAAAAAAAAGAGTTAAAAAAATTTACTTACTGAGCTTTAAATTTCTTTTGAAAATAATTTAATTAATGATCTTTAAAAATTTTCACAGCACACCTAAGATCCGGTGATGGCACACTGGATGTGCCACGGCACACAGGCTGAAAATCACTGTAATAGGGGAAAGAGAAGATGTTTGGGGAGCACAAGGGTGGGGGAGTGCCCAAGGACAAACTACCCAGAGGAGGCACTCAACTGGGATGGGAAAGATGAGCAGGACTTGGCAAAACGAAGATCAACTGACCCTGAGTGAGCCTGGGTCTGGCAGCGAGAATCAGTCCTGTAAACCCCCTGACAACACGAAAGCTGACCAGAAGGTGGAGCGGGAGGGGAATGAGATTGGGAGAATAGGTAGAGACCAGGTCTCTGGGGGCCTGGCTCACATCAGGCAGGTGTATGGGAGGGGGCGAGGCTGGTGCTGGGGAAACCAACTGGTAGATGTAGCTTGTCTCCATTATGATAGCAGCAGTGGGTGGAGAGAAATGGATGTACTTAAGAGATATGTGGGAGGCAGAATAGACAGGACTTGGTACAGTCTTTTTTTTAAACTGGAAGTAACATGTAGGTAACAGTCTTAATACAAGCAATATGGGGGGCATCTGTAGCTCAGTGATTAGGGTGCCGGCCACATGCTATTGGTGGGGGTGGGCTCAAACCCGGCCTGGGCTGGCTAAACAAATCAACAACAACAACAAAATAGCCAAACATTGTGGTGGGTGCCTGGAGTCAGCTACTTAGGAGGCTGAGGCAAGAGAATGGCTTGAGCCCAAAAGTTGGAGGTTGCTGTGAGCTATGACTCCATGCAACTCTGTCTCAATAAAAAAAAAAAATAAATAAAATAAAAGCAATATGGTAGGTCAGAAGGAACTTTACAGTTTTCTGAAAATTTTTAAAAGAAAAATGTACTCAAGTATTTGTTATGCATCGAAAATTAATAATAGTAGCAATAAAAATCAAAGGAAATGAAATTAAGTAGGCATCACACTTGAGCATAGTTCAAGCAACTTCGCATGGCGATTATTTCATTTGTGTTCCCAGTTGGCCTTCTGCAGGCATTTAGTTTGTGATCCATGACCTTTTACAGAAGTCCTCTCATCAGAAGGGCCCCTCCCAACATGATTCCCCTCCTTATCTTCTAGTCGGTTGGTGTAGAATTTGTTATTCGGGCAGACTACAGGTTCCAGTGGTTGCCAACCACGTTAAGACACACTACGGCAGCCTTTCATTCCTTAAGTTAAAGAAGTTGATATAAAAACTGAAATTTGAAAGGCAATTCTGGATGTGAATGCTGCTTGTCAACTGTCTAGTTGATATTTAATATCTTTCTTCAGTCTTCTTTTTTTTTTTTTAGACAGAGTTTTACTTTGTTGTCCTGGGTAGAGTGTTGTGGTGTCATAGCTCAGAGCAACCTCTAACTCTTGCCTCAGCCTCCCAACTAACTGGGACTACAGGCACCTGCCACAACACCCAGCTATTTTTAGAGACGAGGTCTCACTCTGGCTCAGGCATGTTTGAAACCTGTAAGCTCAGGCAATCTACCCGCCTCGGCCTCCCAAGTGCTGAGATTACAGGTGTGAGCCCATCGCGCTGGCCATTTTGGAGTCTTTTTATAGGTATGATTGGGTCTACGTGTTTTCTCCTTCATGTTGTTTTTTATAGTTTTATAGTTTTTTTCCTTTTGTAATTCTTATTGTAAAGCTTGCTCATCTGGGGCACCCATAGTTCAGTGGTTAGAGTACCAGCCACATGCTCCAGGGCTGCTGGGTTTGAACCTGGCCCAGGCCTGATAAGCAACAACAACAACAAAACAGCCGGAAGTTGTGGTGGGCACCTGTAGTCCCAGCTACCTGGGAGGCTGAGGCAAGAGAATTTTTCGAGCCCAGGAGTTTGTGGTTGCTGCGAGCTATGATACCACAAAGGGGCACAAAGTGAGACTTTGTCTCAATTAAAAAAAAAAAAGCCTGCTCATCTGATTTGCCAATCAACCAGGACACACACAAGCTCCAATAATCCTTTTTGTGAAAAGAAGGTTGGGTTTTCTGAGCCTCTGAGATGTGTGTTCAGTGCTCCTGGGAACAGGACCTGAGAGGCTGCAAGGGAAGTAGCTTGGGAGAGGGAAAGGTGAACTGTGATGCTGTCACAACAGGGGTCTCCCTTAAGGGATCCTCTGACAGTAGGGGGACTTTGGACCTGGGATGACCCAGGGCCCAGGGCTGATCTAAATTAAAGGAGGTGGGCTGTGCCTTTACACCCACCCATCAACCAGTCAATGGACTCAGGTTATGTTGGTGGTGCTTGACCTTGAGCAAACAGCTTTCTTCCATCAAGGACAAGTCCTGGAAAGGGTTTCAGCTGAGAACTCTCAGTAGGGGGTAAGTCCCTCCGTCCTAAAGAGGGATCTGGGCAGTGCATCATAGCCTCCTCCCACCCCTCTCCTTAATAATAACAAAGATGTGAAATTTTCATAGTACAGTTTATACAGTAGCTTTACATAAATAATTTCGCATAATTTTCACACCACCACCAGGAACC